ATAAACACAATATGAAAGAAATATAGTCCAAATCAGGATTGTATAAGTTGCATAACGAACTTTATAAGGTGATATGTGAAGAAATGTTTCCAGTTTGTAGCCTCCTTCAGATGTGCCAGGGCCCCCTAGGTGACCCTATCCCCCCCCCAAAAAAATGACCGATCTAAAACAACTCTAAACTTGTAAATAGGGTCTTACTAGTCTTGCACCCTGGCTTTTTGTTCTTGAGTAATGACTTTGTGTCATTAGTATTTTGGAAATACTGCTAAACAAACCACAAGTGGAAATTGCCTGGTTTGTTTACTTGCTTCCACTGGCAGGACAAACTAAATGGAAGTGATTGGGTAGCATGGATGAGCATTCTTATTCATTCACAGTACAGTCGTGCCCCGCTTAATGATTACCCCGTATAACGACGAATCCGCTTCACAACAATGTTTTTGCGATCGCAAAACAATGTTTTAATGGGGTTTTTCTGCTATGCGACGATCGATTCCCTGCTTCGGGAACTGATTCTTCACATTACGACGATCAAAAGAGCTGATCGTTGGGTTTTCAAAATGCCCGCTGGCTGCTCAAAATGGCTCCCTGCTGTTTTTAGGAGCCATTTTTCACAAGACACGCACATGAAAATGGCTGCCCTATGGAGGATCTTCGCTGGACGGTGAGTTATTCAGCTCATTGGAATGCATTAACCGGTTTTTAATGGGTTTTTTATTTCGTTTGACGACATTTTCGCTCTACAGCGATTTCGCTGGAACGAATTAATGTCGTCAAGCGAGGCACCACTGTACTGTAATCCAGAACTCTCAGCAGTTCTGGTTTATCGTAGTGTACTTACTGACCCCAGAATGCTGAATACTGTGCTAATGTATTTATCTGTGGTTTGTTTATTTGGTTACATTTTTCTTTTATAACGTTTTCTGTCAGGCCATATCTTAGAATAGGCAGATTTAATGGGTGCTCAGGATGGGATATAGGGAACATAGGAAGCTGGTTTATATCAGGTTAGTCCGTTGTCCATGAAGCTCCATATTGCCCATTCTGATGCCTCTGACCAAGGGTAAAATCATAGAATAATGGAGCTGTAAGGCTCCATTATAAGGCCATTGACTCCAACCCCCAGATCTTTTCTAACATTTCAAAAATGAAGTTGTTAAGCAGATAATTAAAACATGTATTTGATATTCTATTTGCAGTAGAGTTAGAATTTCAGCTTAGCTGAAGTCTCCATAACTACTATTGTGACCTACCTGTGTGAAAATTCTGTCATCTGTACTTGGAAAGTGCCATCTGTGTCCTTCAGGTGGCTGGCCACTGTGTAGTGTACTGCCATAACAAAATCACTTTTGTTTCTCCCAGTTGCCAAATGTTCTCAACACTGTTTTTATTCTTAGAATCATATTCTCAGATTTATCTTTCAGTCTGAACAAGGCATATCCTTTGACTGCTACACTCCGGTAATACTGAGTACATTTTCATACTGAGTAATTCTTATGAGACTCTGCTTTTCACCATATATTAGGATTTCAGGTTAATTTTCTTTGCTTCTTATGCTCCATACATTAATATAAAGATATCAGAGAGCACGAGTGTTGCACCTTTCCAGTCCCCAGCTGTATTTATGTACAAATTATTGGGCTGCATATCCAGTATCCTGGCATTTCTTTGAGATCTTGTTCCTCTTATTTCTTCCTCTTTCCTTGTCAGTGTCTGGCTGTTGACGGGAAAAACTGACAGTTCCTTCAGTTTCGTACCCAGAGCCATCTGTATCCCTCAGGTAGATGGCTACTGTTTAGTATACTGCCATGACAGAATCACTTTTGTTTCTCCCAATTTCAGTGAAATCTGAAACATACACTCTCTGAGCAGATTCTGCAGCCCTCATTTCAGAATTTTGTTTTCGACAGGTAACATGGCTTATACATCTGGCCATGATTTTGGAATTCCTATTTCTGCAATATCTCCAGCTGTGTAATTCTTAGCCTAATGAAGACTCATGTGGAATTGAAAATTAGCTTTTGTTTTTGATATTTTAGTAGTATAACTCACCCTTGTCTTTAGATTGCATACAAGGACCACATTTCCCTCCTTTTTTATTAGACTGTGGAGACTCAGAAGGGGCAGACTGTGCTACCCTAAAGGTTGGTTATTAGCAATTTAGAAGGCTACAATTGACATTGGTCATAATATTGTGCAACAGCTATTTGGAGGGATTATTTGGCGGTATGAGGAAGGCCGGGATCTCATGGTGTACTAGATCTTTCTGTTTTGCCAGGTTAAATTTTCCCCTTCTTCCTCCTGTCCATCCCTCCATCTTAAAACACTGTTCAGTAAAGCAGGGGATTTTGTGCCAGAGTGGGCTGAAGTAGAAGAGGTGGGGGAAAGGGAAGTTCTGATTCCACTGGCACTGGTTATCAATATATACTGTTTGATCTTGACCAGAATAGTTAACTAGAAAATTGTGTAAGCAGCTGTGATTTTTCAAGCCAGAGCATTTTCTTGTTTTTGAAATGGTGGAAATTTGAATGCTATAAAGTTCTGTCTATGCATAATGAAAAAAAAGAATAATGCAAATGAAATAGTGATTAATTTAAATCAATTGTCAATATTTTTCTGCCCAAATTCTTCCAATATAATTTGCAAGGGGAAAATGGTTTAGAATTTATTTCTAGGAAAAGTAACAATGTCAACCAACATATATTTCCTATTTTGAAAATTCAGTCAATTGGCTTTGAAAATTCAAAACATCTCTGTCTAATGCAAAACTTACAACCCTATGTATAGGCAGAAAACAGATTCTCAATAAGGCCAGGCAGTTGTTACATTAACAAGGGGTTTGTGGGAGAGATGGATTTAAGTTCTCAGTTAATAAAGAAAATCCATAAAAACTAAATTGGGCTGTTTTACCTATCAGTTTTAAAGGCTTGAACCCTCAGCAAATAATATCCCAGTTTCAGATGATATAAAACCTTCATTATTCTGTAGCATGGAATAGTTATTACACTGCTACATTTGTGCAAACTCACTAAAGTATTTGTTACTTTCATCCAAAAATTTGAAATATTGCATCTTCAAGATGAGAGCCAGTGTGGTGTAGGGGAGCGAGTGATGTACTAGGGCTCAGGAGACCTACGTTCAAATCCTTGCTCTGCCATGGAAACTCACTGGGAGAAGAGTACTGGAAAAACCACTTCTTCAATATTTCACATACCTTGAAAACTCTATTATGATCAGCTAATGTCAGATGTGATGTAAGGGCATATGACATTATAGAGTATCTCCAGAATGCTGGTGCTCAAGAAGCATTTGCCTCCTAACTTAACCTGAAAAGAATCTGTGGATGTGATATATTCATGAAGGATTCTGTCACAAAATTTTTCTGTCCTGCTCCTTGTGGTTCATTTTTAATATGCCCAGAGCAGTGATTTATAGCATACTCCATCTGAGCTTCAGTTCCATCTTTGCATGTGGGAGAGTTAAATAATGCAGCCATAGTTTGTCTTGAGAAGTATTAATGCAGAAGCAATCAATATCTTTATTGGACCACTGAAAATATTAAGTAGTTTGTGAGCTTTCAATGGTAACTCATCTTCCTCAGGCCCTGTTTCAAAGTCTCATAGCCAATGTTCCCTCTAATTTTCAGCCCCCCTGGGTGGGGCTCTGCCTCTCACACATATGCAACCCCCCCCCCCCGGTTCCATTGCAACTGGAACCAAAGGGGCTGAAAAACGATCACTATCACTGAGTGGAGGAGGAGGAGCCCTGCATGAAGGGGGATAGAGTCACACGTGCACAGGCACACATCTTAGAAGGACCCATGCTCATGGCATAGTTGTTAATGCCAGGCAAAAAAATTCTTAAGGTGAATTGAGCAGTATGCAAACAACCTGTGGGATGGTGGAGGAAATTCCTCCCTAAGCAGTATCTTGGGAGTTTATCTCACATCTCTTCAAACGAAAGATTCTTCAAGCAATTTACATCACCCTCGACTCGCACATTGCCTTTCTTTTAAAACTTAGAGTAGTTTCTATGGTGGCAGGGATGACACAGCCACATGGCAGATCTCCGCCAGAGAGGTATAGCCAAGAATTTAGATTCCCTGCTGGATGTTTTCTTCAGCAGTCAGTACTGCTAGGCTGTGTCAGAAGTCTTAGTTGTTCTCCAGGCAGCCATTTAAGCGATATCTCCACAGTTCAGGAAAAAAAAATCAGTGAAATGCTTTGTGGTCATTTTTTGACAAACAGTACAAATGCAGAAACAGGCAATGCCTTCATTGGACCACTGAAAAAATTAAGTAGATTGTGAGTTTTTGTTGGTAACCAATGCTCCCTCTAAGCTGTGTGGGTGCACAGCACTGAATCGGGGCCACACAGCCTAACTACTGTTGCTGCTGATTTGCTTCCAATCACAGCCGGAACTCCATGGGGGGGGGCCTCCTTCCAAGTGTTCTGGAAAATTAGAGGGAACGTTGTTGGTAACCCATCTTCCTCAGGCCCAGTTCCAAAGTCTCTTGGCTTGAGAAGTGTTAGTATAATACACTACAGCTTATGCTGTTTAAAAAGATGCAAGGCAACAATGTGTAGTTATCTGGAGTGAGTGGCCTCTGTGAGTGTGACTTAGGTTCACAGGAGCTTTGTTAATTTTATTTGTAGTGGCACAGTTGAGAATTAGGAACATAAATATCCTGCCATCAAGCTTAACCTCTGCCCTGAAATTATAGTATGTCCAAAGTTCTTTCTCAAAAAGATGAGAACTAGTGATGATGAGTGCATGGCCCAGTCTCCCAAACACAGCTAATCGTAGTTGAATAATAAACACCCTGTTTATTTAATGTTCATAACTTTAATATGAAGATATAAATCATTATAGGGACTCATCTCCCGGTATCCTTGAAACTTCCCTGCTTGCCAAAGCATAATCATAGCTCTTTAATGGTTCATGAAATGTGAGCAACTGGCCTGTTGATTCTGTGCCTTTTGTTTTGTTTTGTTTTCAAGCCTAATTTTGATTCTAAAAAAAATTAAAAATCAAAGACTAAGCTGAAAGATGGAACAGAATCTCTCGGAGAAAAAACCAGCCATCGCCCAGACTGCAGACTTCGATGTAATGGGTGCCTTAGACTGGAAAGACGGCATTGCTACCTTGCCAGGTAGCAACATACAAGTAAGGAAAAAAGGGGGTAGGGTAAACAGAGGCCCTAATAGTTAGCAAATGTTCTTTTGTCAGGGTAGATAAAAGATCTTATGTTACATGTATTGCTTTCTGTCATGAATTTCAGCTGTGGTGACAAAAACAAACTGATGCCAAGAGTATTGGATTGTCTTCTGACTGGCTCTATGTTCTTTTTTGAATTTGAAGTTTCTATACTAAGAACTGTTACTGCTTTTATTAATCAAAGTTGGGAGATTTTCAGCTACACAAATATACTGCTTTGTGGTCTTCTGTGATTCACACACCTGGGTTAGCACACCTGCATGAAGCACTGCTGGAATCTTCAGGCCAGTAGTTCCCAACTTTGGCCAGATATTCTTGAACTAAAACACCCAGAAGTCTTTACCACTAGCTGTGCTGGCCAGGATTTCTGGGAGTAGTAGTCCAAGAGCATCTGAGGATCCAAGGCTGCAGGCTTCTTCCTTCTCCCATATATAGTGCATGTGCCCCTCCCTGAAATCTTAGTCCATTTCTGTCCAAGACAGCAGCAATGCCACAGAATCTTGAATCTATCTTAAATTGCTACAATATGCCCAGTTCTATTTCATTTTTCTCTATGTGCTTACCTTCTCTCCACTTTTTCCTCCTTGTTGCCTGCAAGAAAAAAGTTGCCATAGTGAAGTCTTTATAAAGTGTCCCCCCTTCCCTCCCTTTGTTCTCTTCAGTGTTTTTTCCTGCCTTTTTAATATGTCCACTTCAGCCTTAATGAAGAAGTGTCTTGAATGATGAGCGAAAATCCCTCAATTTAACAGAAATACTACATGTCTTGATGAAGGTCATTTTAGTGAAGAACTGCTCTGTCTGTAAAGGATTTACAAAAGTAGCTTTCCATTATTATGAATCCCAACTTAAGTTGCACTAGTGGGAGAAGTCACTAAAAGTAGTACATCTGATCTCAGCTCACCCTCAACCATATAAAGACTCTGTCTCAACTACCAAAGTTAAGGACACTAATGTTAGCTTACTTTAGTCTACCTCTTTGGGGCAAGAGGAATCCATTATTGCTCTGGACATTGGGCTTGGTCATGGCCTTCCATCTTTGAAACACACTTTGGCATCTACAAAACTGAAGGATTCAGTTTGTCACAACTAGAGATGGAGGTATTCGTATATGAATATGAATATTCACCCCACAGGTGCAGATAACGACCACTAGTCCTGCTAAAGACACCCCTCAATCACAGTGACAGATAATCTCTCCATCTTATCACAACAATATATCCACAACAAAAACAGGCTGATCACCACCATCACCCTATCTCCTGAAAAGGACAAAAGCTGTTCCCACGGCTATTAATACTCAACTATCCAACAAACAGCTACAGAGAGATGCCGACCACAGAGACTAGCGAAATGTCAGGAAGAATAACCTTTAGAACACGGCCAAAGAGCCCAAAAAACCCACAACAACCATCAGATCTGGGCCGAGTCCTGTACTACTTCTCTACCTATTCTGTGCTGCATTTCCCACACTACTTTACTTGCTTTTCGTCCCTCAGGTTGAACACTATTTTCCTTTTTGGGAAAAACTGAGACAAAAAAGCTGTTGATTCATTCTGCCTTTTCCCTGTCCCCTGCTAGTAATTGGCCATCATCTCCATGCAGAGACCCTATCCTTTCCTTTTTTTCACTTTTACTGCTGACATAACTAACAAATCCCTTTTTATTATCTTTAATCTCTCTAGCAAGCCTAAGTTCGTGCTGTGCTTTAGCTTTTTTTTACCATCCCCTACATGTACTGGCTATTTGCTTCTATTCCTCTTTGGTGCTTTCCCCGTTTTTCCATTTCTTGTACATGTTTTTCTTACACTTAGCTGAGTTGAAAGTTCTTTAGTCAACCATTCCGGTTTCTTTAGACATCTCCCATTTTCCTTCTTGTTGGAACAGTCTTAGATTGTGCCTTTAGTATCTTAGTTCTAAAAAATCCCCATCCATCCTGAACTCCCCTCTCCTTTAGTGCCTCTGTCCATGGAATTTCAGCCAATAATTCCCTAAAATTACAAAAATTGGTTTTCTTGAAGTCTAGAATACGTGTGTGATTACACTTGGCTTCCCCTTCCCACTGTATAACAAATTCCAAGAGAGCATGGTCACTCCCAGCTAAGGCTCCCACCGCTTCAACCTCATTAACAAGGTCTTCCCTGTTGGTTAAGATTAGATCTAAAATAGCTGTTCCCCTTGTTGCCTCTTCCACCTTCTGGACCATGAAATTGTCTGCAAAGCCAGTAAGGAATGTTTTGGACCTTGTGTTCTTGGCAGAGCTTAATTGCCAACATATATTGGCATAGTTGAAATCTCCCATTATTACTGCATCTTTTGCTTTTGAATATGGGCATCTGCTTCATTCAGGAAGGCTTCATCCAACTCCCCAGACTGGCTTGGGTCCCTTTTGGTCCTACATAGACCAAAAGGAAGTGTAGTATACTCCCACAATGATATCCCTCACATTTTTCTCCCCCTTACTTCTTACCCAGATGCTCTCAACCTGGCTTCCGAGATTTATACCCTGGATTTCTTCACCAGTATAAGTGCTCTTTACATATAAAACTACTCTTCCTCCTTTTTTTACTAGGTCTGTTTCTCTGAAATAGGTTATATTCTCCAATAACTATATTCCAATCATGAGTCTCATCCCACCATGTTTCAGTGATACCTATTAAGTCATATTTATTTTGCTGCATTAGGAGCTCCAGCTCATCTTGTTTGTTTCCTGTGCTCTGTGCATTGGTGTAGAGACATTTAAGACTATGTCTTCTTGATCCCTCTCAACCCTCAAATTATCGACCAATAAGCTTATTATACAGGGACGTGGTGGCGCTGCGGGCTAAACCGCAGAAGCCTGTGCTGCAGGGTCAGAAGACCAAGCAGTCGTAAGAGTGAATCCACGCAACGGAGTGAGCACCCGTCGCTTGTCCCAGTTCCCGCCAACCTAGCGGTTCGAAAGCATGCGAATGCAAGTAGATAAATAGGGACCACCTCGGTGGGAAGGTAACAGCGTTCCGTGTCTAAGTTGCACTCGCCATGTGACCACGGAAGATTGTCTTCGGAGAAACGCTGGCTCTATGGCTTGGAAACGGGGATAAGCACCGCCCCCTAGAGTCGAACACGACTGGACAAAAATTGTCAAGGGGAACCTTTACCTAAGCTTATTATGCAATATTGGAAAATTATATTCTAAATATCTCTTGAAAAAAACTCTCCATATGGGCTGCTGACAAGGATCTTCCTGGAAAGAAACAGATAGGCTTTTGTGCCGGAGCGTCCACTCAGGATCATATCTTTTTGCTGACTTTTCTTGCTGAAAAATACGCAATCCACAACAAAACCAAACTTTTTGTTACCTATGTGGACCTCCAAGGGGCATTTGATTCCATCAACAGAGATCTACTAAGGAAAAAAAACTTTCCGATTGGAGTATTGATCCACGCCTGCTATTTTTGCTCTGCCAATTGCATTCCCATAATTCCTGCCAGGTTCATTTAACTGATTTCAACACTCTTACCGAAAAAATTCCAATTTTCAAAGGTGTTCGCCAAGGTTGCATTTTGGCCCCTTTATTATTTAATTTATCTTTTCTTTCCCCTTGCAATCAGTCGGCTCCAGCCCTTAATGGTGTTCCTTTATCTATACTCCTGTATGCTGATGATACAGTTCTAATGTCTCATACTAGTTGCACTTTACTTAAATTTCAGGATTTCTGTGATCTTAATGATCTATCCATTAACCCTAATAAAACCCACATTTTGGTTTTTTCCCCACTCTTGGTCCCCTACACCTTGGACAATAGGATCTTCTTCCTACCGTCAAGTACACTTCTAAGTATCTGGGTCTTCATATTCATCACAAACTCAGCTGGACATTTTGTAAAAAAGCTGCCATTTCTTCAATTTCTCCCCAATTAAAAGCTATTTCAAATTTTCATTATTCTTCCGGGAAACCAATATATCCCAGCAGCCATTCAGATTTTTCAGTCTAAGATTCTTTCTCACTTGCTGTATGATGTGCTTATATGGATACATTTGGCTAATTTGGATATTGATCTAGTTGCAGCAACGTTTTTCACAGAATAGTAGGAGTTCCTAACTTAATTTGGCTTTTTACTATTTCTTTAGAATTGGGCATTTATCTACCTTCCACAACTGCCTGGTTACTTACATTTAAATTTTGGCTCCGTCTCTTTTTAAATTCACGGCCAAAGAGCCCGAAAAACCCACAACAACCACACCCAAATTATTTAGAATTTTTTAGCACTATTCAAGACACTGAAAGCATTTCTACCTCCTTTGATAGTCATTGTTACACAAGTTGCAAAAAACAGTGCAACAGCAAGGTATTACTTGAACAAGCAAGGACAAACACATTCAATGTTTTCTCTGTTTCTGACCATTAAACTATGGGTGGTGCATTTTACATCACATTTATCCAGTAGCAATTCACATGAATAGGGACTGCAATCAGGCAGCAGATCTCCTAAGCAGAAAAATGTCTCAATCATATGAATGGGACTTGTCTCCTGAGGCCTTTCTGCTCATAATTAATCATTGGGATACCCCACAATTAGATTTATTTGCAGTGAGAGAAAATTGCAAATGAAAGATGTTCTGTTCTTGGACAGGCAAGGATTATTGATCCCTGGAGGATGCATTTATGATACCCTTGTGGGGAAGTCTAGTATACATGTTTCCATTAATACATCAAACAACAATCAAGATATGACAAGGTCCAATGTGATACTCTTGACACTATGGGGACCTCATCAGCCATGGTTTGCTTCACTTCTCATGGCAACAGACATCTTACAACCTCCTTATTCTTGATCTTTTAACATGTCAAAGAGGACAGTTCATTACCTGGACACTTACCTTTCAAAGTTAATATTCTGTGCACTTGATGTGCATGAAATATTATTCAACCAGGATAATCACACAGTTCAAGAAGTCTTCTAAGAAAGTTGCTGATTTCTATGAAAGTTGTTGATTTCTTCAGGTTGCAGTATTGCAGTGGAAATGGTACCTGTCTCCCTAAACACTGTGATGCTGTTTCTGCTACATTTGAAGGAGTTTGGACTCTTCATGTCATCTTTAAAGGTCTTCTTAGCATCTTTTTTTGTCTAAACAATCTATGGACCATCCTGCTCCAAAACATCTTGTCCACTGTACCGATAAAAGCTTTCTAGGGGGAAAAAACAAATACATAGCTACAAGATGGGGAAACTTAGCTCATGAAAACTACGAGTCAGAAGGATCTTGGAACTGTAAAAGCTGAATATGAGCTAATAGTGTGATGTGGCTGCAGAAAAGGCAAATGCGATTATAGAATGCATAAACAGAAATATAGTCTCCAAATCCCATGAGGTACACTATCTAGCACTGGTTAGGCCTCATCTTGAGTACTGTGTCCAGTTCGGGACACCATACTTTAAGGAAAATACCAACAAACTGGAGCAAGTCTGGAGGAGGGCAACAAGGATGACCAAGGGACTGGAAACCAAGACCTATGAGATAAATGTTGCCATACAGAGGAGGAGGAGCATCTGTTCTCAATCATTCCAGAGTGCAGGATACATAAAAATGGTCTCAAGTTACAGGAAGCCAGATTTAGGCTGAATATCAGGAAAAACCTCTTAACTGTTAGAGTAGTCCAACAATTATTTCAGGAGGTGGTGAGCACTCCAATGCTGGAGACATTCAAGGGGAAATTGAACAACCATCTGTGAGATATCTGTGAAGATTCTCAGTCATCCAGGTTAGGTTATCTGGAAGTTGAGTCATGGCAACTGGACTTCTTACTAGGTTGAAACGTTTCGCTACTCATCCAAGTAGCTTCTTCGGTCTGAGGAGAGTTGGTAGAAGACCCCTGATATGTCCTCCACATTGGTTTTCTGTCAGATCAGTTTTGATTTGGATTCCTGCATTGAGCAGAGGATTGGAACACATGACCTTATAGGCCCCTATCATCTCATTTATTGTATGATTCTATGAAGGGTTTGACTAATGCTTTCCCAGACATTAAGATGCTACCAGTTTCATGATCTTTCTCTTTAGTGTTATCTAAACTCATGGTTCCTCTGTTTGACCTTACGGCGTCTGCAGATTTAAGACTTCTCACAATGAAACAGTATTTCCTGTTGCAATTACATTGGCTAGGAGAGCAAGTGAGTTATGTGTCCTAAGGTCTGATGAACCTTATATTCAATTTACTGGGAACAAAGTGACATTTTTTCAAGACATTACTTTTCTTCCCAAAGTGGTAACACTTTCCCATACATTGCAGGCTATAGTGTTATCCTCATTTTATCGGAATCTATAGTCATCACTAGTAAGGACTTTGCATAACTCAGATGTCAGGAGGGCGCTAGCCTTTCACATCACAAAGATTCAGTTAAATGGGTGGCTAATTTGATCCAGTTGACTTACGAAATTGTTAAAATTTCCTTTTCTGGTAAGCTGAAAAGTCATTCAGCAAGGGCAGAAGCAGCGTATTTTGCTTTCCTCAAAAGAACACCGGTCCATGATATTTGTAAAGCTACTACTTGATTTTAACCCTGTGATATTTATTAAGCATAACAGAAAAGACCTTCATGCCCAGAAGCGTGCTTCTTTTGGAAAAAACATTATTTTCATGGGTGATGGTATTATGCCCAGTCTAAATGCTTCCTAGTCTGCAGAACTGTATGATTCACAGGTGTGTGAATCACAGAATACCACAAAGGACAGTTACTTATCTGAACTGTGTTTCTTTGAGGGTCATTCTCACAACCCTCCCAATTCCCTTCTTCATTATGTTTCTTTCTAGTGGCTTTGTGTCACACAGGTTGGGAATGAGGTGATAGGTAAGAGCATGTACTCTAGATATGAGAGGAGGAGAAAATTCTGGGCTTGCATGCTCTAGAAGATTCTAGCAGTGTTTTGCACGGGTGTGCTAACCAAGGTGTGTGTTTGCACAGAATGACTAACTGAAGAAACATGGTTACAGGTGACTAATCTGTCCTTTCTCAAAGAGGGAAACCCACCTAAAGCAGCTGAGTCTCAAGGCTTGTCTTTGTGTTCAAGTATTAGATGATAGAACAAGTGATTACAAAAAATATATTAGAAGTAACTCTTGTTGCTCTAGCAGAAAAGATTTTAAGGTTTTCCTTTGGACCTGCTGCTACCCAAATACCTGTCAATATGTTTCCATATAGGGTGCATTTTAAGGGAACTTGAGACCTCATACTTGATGCTGGTGGCTATCTGAAAAAGGACATGTATGGTGGCAATAGAAGAACAGTGGATGCAATAGTCTATGATTAGGAAGTCAGGGGCTAGTTTAAAATGGATATGTCTGTTCAGTAAAAGGACTTTAGTTTCCTCTATTAAGATAAGTAAGATAAGTAAAAAAAATGATAAGTGGAACAACATCTTATCTGATATCTTTCTCAGTAACCATGATTAGTTGCACTGTCCTTACTACATTCTTGTTATATACTTATCTCTCTTTTGTGGTCCCAGTAATACCCTTTAAAAAAAGGATGGCTTTAATTCTATTTTGAAATATTGGTAATTATCAGTGTCGGTTTAGCTACTAAAACTCAGTGGCCAAAATCATGTTGTGTAATTATCTGTGTGCAGCTGGAATGATGTCATGAATAGTGACAAATCAACACTATTAAACGCTTCCTTTGGGAATTTCAGGGTGGAAGTGACTTCATTGCATTGTACATGAGTTGTGTGCACCCTGAAATTGTCTTCAATCAGCAGCAGTTTGGCATTGATGATTTTGTTATCCCCAATGCACACATGGACTTGCACAACAGGACTTCAGCCAGTGTTCTAGTAACTGTTGGCTTAGTTTTTAGACAGGCAGTTCATATGATACCAAAAACCAATATAGTATTAAAATAGTGAGTATTTAATCATCAGTTATGATTAGTAGCTACTGAGGTTCACACTGTAAACTATTTATACATGTTTCTAAACAACACTTGAACTACATCTTTTGTTGGTCTTCTATTTTAAAAGGCAAAACGTAATTGTGCCAGAATATAATTGTGTGATATGTTTTCCATAAATATGGCTTATTTATGTAGTTATAAATGGCAATGATGTCATCCGCCTACAAAAAGTTCAGTTTATTTTAATTTAATTTAATTTAAAGCTTCTTAATCCTTCCTTCAGGTTCTTAGGCTCTCTAAGGATCCTTTTTGATCAGGGGAAGCCTTTAAGTGCCATGGGACAGGAGGAGCCATTAATATCTGAAAGTCACTACTGGATTGCTGCCACTGGGATCAGGATCATAGCCAGCTATCCGGCAGTGATTTTTGAATATTAAAGGCTGCCCACCCCCACTTAGTCCTGAGGTTCCCAAAGGTTTCACCAGGTCAAAAAAGGATCTTTAGGGAGCCTCAGAACCTGAAGGGAGAGGGATAGGAAGCTTTAAATGAAATTAAAGAGTAATGTCATTGTGTGGTGACATCATTGCCATTTATATCAGTTTAATTATGGCAACAAGATTCCAGCCAGTATTGTGTTTGCTTAGAATTTGGGAAAGGTGAATCAGTTTTATTACAAATTGTAAGCAAGTGATGTAAAGTTTACCATCTATAATGTGCTGAGGAATGCTTATGCTTCCTTGGTTTTTAAAGAATGTGCATTTTTACAATCTTCCAAATCTTGTTTGTGAATTTTCAGATATGGTTCTGTCCTTTTTAATTGGTGAATTTCAGTACCAGACAATTCAGGTATCTACTAGTGAAATGAATATGTAATGGGGAGTTTTGAATCCCACTGATTTCATTGAATAGTTGGGCCTATAGTTAATGTCTCACTTAGAAATGAAGGTGACTTATTTGATTGGATTGTGCCGTATCTGTTGAGGGAAATCAAATTAGTAGTTTGGAGAATTATGGCAGATACCTAAGTCTTATAAGTGGACTGTGAAAAAATATAAAATGTATAGTACAGCAGAAATATCTACTAACACCTTGTACAGATGATTTCTTGTTTTTTATGGAAGTATTTTCCATTTAGGCTGTCACTGCATAAGCTCTTTAAGAGGATGTTGCTGTAGACTCAGTGTGATTTGCTGAGGCATTGTTTCTGTGGTGTGCAGTGCCAGCAACTATGTGTTTTTTTTCTTTTTATTTCTTGTACTTTGATTTCAAGCACTTAGCACCATGAGGAAATTATTCATTCAGAGAGTATTAAAGTTTTGATCACACACTGTGTGTGTGATCATTTCTCATTGTTTATGTAGGTTTCATAAGTCTGCTTCGTGTAAGAGCCATGATATTTTTGTGTGTATGAACAGAGATGAAAATTAATGCCCTTTTCGTCCATCTTCATGCTGCAGTGGCAACACTCTAGCAATTGTTTGCAGCACAGTACTTAATTTATTTTCTTTGTTAGTAGTGCCTAGTAGTAGTACCTTTTCACTGTCATGCTCTAGTATTGAATCTCATGCACTGTCATTCTTCCAAACCCTGTTGCGTTGTTTTTCTCTCTCTCTTGTGTTTACTTATCTTATTTTCTCCTTCTCACAGTTCCGTTTAAGTGAGTTTGGAACATTGGAACTCATTACAGAAGTTGAAGCAAAAGCTCTCTCTGCCTCTTCAGTAAATACCAGTTCAGCCGTCCTTAACTTGTCTACCTCTTCTGCTCCCAACACCATAACTGTTCGTGATCCTGAAGGTAAGCTGTAGATCAAGGGGCAGAATATACAATGGTGCAGGAACATGGGAGTGACTTTTAAACACAAACAACACAGACACACACACCCATCCCCAGTGTGGTCTTGGCACATGTTGTGTAACAAAATGAGAGGAGTTTTGAGCTTTGAAGCATCATGTTTCAACTTTCAGAGCATCACTTGTGCCAGGTGGGGAAATTATTCAGTACAATTCTTCATTACTTCTGTGACTCACATGTATGGGTTTTGCAGAAATCATGTTTTAAATTTTTCTTCTCCCGTCCCCCTTGCACATAGACACTCTGTAATGGCTCTACCTCAGTTCCTCTTTTCTTTGCTTCAACAACAGCTAGAAGGGTGTCTGACAGCAGTTGTTTTTCTTGCTTCAATACGTTAATTGTGGCTTATGTTTCATTTGTTTATCTTTTCTAAATGTTTTCTTCTCATGTTGTTTTTGTTGCTGAAAAAGAATTTACCCTCTCATCTATGGGATCCTTGTTTCTCATTATTTTATGGTCTCCCTGGTCTTGTTAAAAATGTAGAGTTTGTTGGGATAAAATATCCATTGGTGTCCATCAGTCAGCTTTATGTCCCCTAAACATTTCACTTGGAAGGGTAGAATTTCCTATACAGACTGGCATTCAAAGAGTGTGTAATGTCTTGGGGAAATTTGTCACTCAGAAAACCGCACAATCTGTAAGAGCTTCACCAAAGCTGCTCTTAAAACTGATAGTCTCATATGAAACTTTACTTGTGGAAAAAAGTCCCTTCAAACTTCAGATTTATTTACACAACAGTGCATTACCTTATCTTCTCCAGTTTCAGTTTGCTGTTTTAGCACAAGAGAAACCACAAGGACCACCTTATGTTCTGACTTACCTTCTACTGCACTAACGACTCATTGGATCCAACAGTTTCTTCTGCATCCATTGTTCCTTCCATTTCAACATTGTATTGAGGAAAAACTGAAGAACTAGGCATGTTTAGCCTTGAGAAAAGAAAGAGAGGAGATATGATGGCACTTTCCAAATACTTGAAACATTGCCATACAGAGGAGGAGCAGGATCTATTCTCAATCATCACAGAGTGCAAGACACAGTATGATGGGCTCAAGTTACAGGAAGCCATATTTGGGTGAATATCAGGAAAATTTTACTAACTGTTAGAGAAGTATGACAATGGAACCAATTACCTCGGGAGGAGGTGAGTGCTCTAATGCTGGAGGCATGCAGGAGAAAATTAGACAACTATCTGTCAGATATACTTTGATTTGGATTCCTGCCTTCAGCAGAGGATTGGACTTGATAGCCTTCTAAGCCCCTTCCAACACCATTTCCTATGAATTCCAGTGCATTACCAACCAAAACTCCCATCTGTGGTTAAAAGGAAGAAAGTTAACAACTTGCAGAAAAATCAAAGATAAAGCAATGTAAGACAAAAGAAAATAATAGTTCAAAGACAGTCATATCATCAGTAATAGTACAACTAGTGTTTTCTCAGCCACTGGGAGGTGGTGGTGGAGCAACTATGTTCAAGACAATCACACAAACACCCCAGCAGACTTTGGCTGAAGAAATAATCTGTGTTGCTTCTTCTTTGGACAGTAAGCTACAAGATTTATCTGACCATGGTTTCTACAGATCTCAGCACAGTCTTGCCTCAGAAATGTCCTGACATTGACATTGCACAGAGACTCTCCAACAATTCATTATTATCCTCACACCATCGCTCTAGATTGAGAATGTACTCCAGATCACCATTGCATTGAACTTGTATTTGATCCTTATCTCAGGAATCACACTCTTAGATTCTATTCCATAATCATGTCCCACCATACTATGTGTACGGTACGTGGGCTATGAGTGGCTGTTGCCTCAAGTGTCCAACCAAGATTGTTTACCAAGAGGTTAATCTCCTCATCACTGTTACCTAGGAAGCACCATCCCTAGAAGAAATCCTGTTCCTCAGGGTGGTCACTGTCTCAATCACAAAGACACTTTAGACATAGGTAAAGGGATTGCCAATTTCAAATAATTTCTTTAGCCACTGGCTCTGACAGAAGAGAACAAGGGAATGACTTCCCATTTGGATCTAATTATTTCGTTTCTGGATATGTCACCTTTATATCTAACTGGCATTCCCTCAGCACGTAGTTTTCGTTCCATTTCTGACTTAGAAAATTCTACTGATACCATCATTCACAATCCAGTCATTGCAGCTTACTTAGACCACACTCACTCTGTGGTACCATCTTCAGATACGACTGCATCATTGGCGTTAGGCATGAGTACATCTTACTGTGTGGAACATTCATATGGTACTACAACACCAGTAGCTGACTAGGCCTGTACCCTTGGACAAGATGAGCATGGTTCCACACATCCTGCTCCGTCACTCCTTATTACTTCCAGAAAATTTCTTGTCGGGGGTTAATATCTCTCTTTCTCCATCTGAGAACATAAGATCATGCAGTAATTGGATGTTGATCCTGCACATAGCTAATACAGGATCTGATCCTGCACCCAGAAATACAAAACCCACCTCAATCAATTCTTAACATGGTTTTCAGCAGGGTACAGCACACCTCAGCTGCATCTCTGTAGTTCCCACTGGTGCCAGTTCTTCCTGACTTTGCAAAGCTATCTTGGAGTAAGCCACAAACTATTGCGCCCATAGTGCAATGCATTGAAAATGTGTAGCAAATTCCATTTTTATGCATTTAGCACCAAACTCAATAACTGTGAAAACGATACAGACTAAGAATTTGCAACTCACAAATATTCTGTTCTTGGATATGATGATTTATAACCAATCAAACAACCACCTGAGTGAGGCTCAGGGCAAAGAATGAGAGTCTGAAGGATCTAGAAAGGGGAAGGGAGACCACAAGAGTATAAAAGGAGAGGGAGAAGGCAGTAAGGGACTGGTGGCAGCAGGCAGTGGAGGAGGAGGAGGAGGAGAGAGTGAAAAGAGGATGACAAAGAGGAGACCAGGGTGGAGGCATTGGAGTGACCTCAGCCCAACCATCAAAGGAAACACTGCAAGTCTTGAGCTTAATTTGAGTGTAGGATTCCAAACTCAGAGGATGTGACAGCAGTCACCAGCAGAGCCTGCTCCAACTGTGACAGTGGAGGAAGAAGAGACAATTCAGTCATCTCCAAAAATTGGTAGCTGAGGTTCAGGCTATCCGACATATGACTTCCCATAAGAGAGGGTGCAGAGGAGGACAGTTTTCAACTACCAGAGATTTGTATGGGAAGGATTCAATTATTAATATAATTTCAGTATTCTGTATTTTCACCTAAGCCATGGAAAGGAATCCTTATGCCCTTCAGATATTTTGAACTGCAACACCAATGAGTCCAGTGGTCAAGAGTTTAAGGAACTGCAGTCCAAAACATGAGAAGGATACTAGGTTACCTTCCAAATTCTTATCAACATATATCCAGGTGGCAATATAAATAATGTGTGAAGTCACACTGTGTATGTATCCTAGCATGTGTTTACCATGTCAGTACTAATTTATTGCAGTTCCAGCTGGGATTTTTGTTGGGAGATACCATATTGCCCACTGCAGATATAAACAGCACATATGTTCAAAACGTATCTCATATCTCTTAGTGTGGACATTTTGTAGTAAATTGCATTGGAGAAATGATGTTTTCTCTCAGTTTGTGTTCTTTAATCAAATCCTGCACAACAGTAATGTGTATAAAGAGAGAGAATGTACTAATGAAGATTTAACCAAGTCATTTAAATCACTACATGCTTTCTTGAACTCGGACTTAAGGGATGAATTGAATGAACAGGGTGCTTGGATCTGTCCGTTCTACCAGTACTCCGCTCGACCCTTGCCCATCTTGACTAACTGGAAGATCTGCCAGGGGGGTTCGCACCTGGGTCCAGGAGGCCATGAATGCCTCTTTGAGAGAGGGAGTGATCCCTACCACCTTGAAAGAGGTAGTAATTCGGCCACTCCTAAAAAAGCCTAACCTGAACCCAAGGCTGGTGGTTAACTACCAACCAGTGGTGAACCTCCCTTATTTGGGCAAAGTGTTGGAGTGGGTTGTGACTGGGCAACCCCAGGTGCTGCTGGATGAAACAGATTTTCTGGATCCATTTCAATCGGGTTTCAGGCTGGGTTTTTGTATGGAGACTGCCTTGGTCGCCCTGTACCTTTGTTGGGAGAGAGACAGGGGGAGTGTGACCCTGTTGATACTCCTGGACCTCTCAGCGGCTTTCGACACCGTTTACCATGGTGTCCTTCTGGATAGGCTGGCTGGGTTGGGAGTTGGGGGCACCGCTTTACGGTGGTTCCATTCCTTCCTGGCTGACCGCATCCAGAGGGTGGTCCAGTTGCTGCCTGGGCCCAATTCAAAGTGCTTGTTTTGTCATAGAAAGCCCTAAATGGCTTGGGTCCTGGATACCTGAAGGGTCGCCTCCTCCCATATGAGCCTACCTGGCAATTAAGATCTAGCCAGGGGGCCCTTTTGAAAGAGCCGTCCCTCAAGGAGGTAAGAGGGATGGCTTGTTGACAAAGGGTCTTTTCGGCAGCTGCCCCAAGACTATGGAACGCCATCCCAACTGAGATTCATCTGGCGCCGATGCTGATGACATTTCGGCGCCAGGTCAAAACCTTCCTGTTCCAGAAGGCTTTTAATTGAAATAATATCAACTGTGGGTCCTGATGGCAACTTCTAGAGTATATATTTTAATTGTATTTTAATTGTTTTATCTTTTTTACTGTAGTTAAATTTTTGTGTAGTGTGGGCGGCATATAGGTTAAATAAATAAATAAATACAATAATAATCTAAAAAATATTTTCATGGCAGTATCCATCCATTAGTTTTTAAGTGCCATATGGTTTTACTGCTCTTTTGGTTTCAAATAATATGACTTCCTTGCAGTTGAGTTGTTAATGAAGTCATTGTTTAGGCTAAATACGTGGGGGCTATATACTTCAAACAAGATTTTAAACTATATTCTTCTCTTCTTAGACGTTCTTTCAGAATTAAAATATCACACAAGCTTCAGATGTTTATGGTTTAAACTGGAGTTGGAATACTGGGTCCATGATAATTAATTCTCTTGCAGGAGGTGATGAGAGTTGGGAGCTCCTCATGTAAAAGTTGGATTTTTAAAAATTGGCATTAATCCTTGCCAACCATCTCTTTTTGCAGAACCCAAAGACTGCATTCTCAGATCAGGTCTCCAGAGCAGCAAAAATATTAAATACCCTGAGCAAATGGACTGCTTTGACAATTCCCACCAGGAGAAAGACAGGTGACATCTCTGTTCTGTTTTGTTCTAGTCATTAGACAAATATGGTCTAAGTTGAATCTGGCTATATCTACTGTATATGTGTTTCTCTATATCAGGGCACATTTCCATTCAAATAGTACAGCTTAATTTCTACAGGAAGGATTGCATTTAAGAAAGAAGAGGATTTTACATTCGTAACCTTTTTTCTCTGATCTTTGCAAAATTAGTTCTGAGATTATTACTGAAAATTTGGACACAGCTGTTATATCTACCTTTTGGAATTGATATTGGGAATCAGGAAAGGAGGGAAGAAATGGGGATAAACCGGCTTGTCTTTTTCTTAATTACTTCAGCTTGTTACAATTAACAAATTGAAAAGATAAAAAGAGTGATTAGAGCTGTGATTAAATATAAAATTGATAAGTGCTGTACAAAAATTAGGAAAGCTGTAGAGTGGTTGTTTTCTGAGAAGTCATTAAAATTAGTGTTGGTACTTACAACGAGATGCTCATTTTCTGTAAGGGAAGGACGCTATCTGAACCATGCACTTGCTTCAGCAGAGAAAAATGATCTAGTAAGAGTTGGATCTGTGTGCTTTCTTGTCGGAGGGCAACCCATTCCAAACGATTTTCATCTCCAAACTCTGCCCAACTTTCTTCCCCAGGAGAAATCTCTCAGCCAATGCAGTAAGAGGACACTTTGGCATAGTTAGAACTAATTAAACCTCAAAATCTTCCAGTTTAGCCCTTTCTCCCATGTGCATCAATGAGCATTGTGGTATTTGTAGTCCAGAAAATCCAGCAATCCCACGCATAGTGTTGATAGGCAAATTAAAGATAACTGTGTGTAAAGGGGTGAATTGTTATGTGAAGATATATCTCCATTAGAGATGGGGACGGCTCAACATTTTGGCGAGTCATCCAGGTTCATGAGTTGTCAAAAGTTGATCACTCATGAAGCACGAAGTTGCCCCCATGAAGTGACGAATAACAAATATATTCGTTGATTCATGGGTTTCTTTTAAAAAACATTCTTGCTACCCCCTTCTTCCACTGACACCCCTTCCTATTAAAAACAAACAAACAAAAAAAGAAACACCATTCTGCCTACTGGCCGCCAATCAGCTGATCAGAGGCATAAAGGCAGCCGCCACCACCACCACCACCCCTGGATTTCCTTAGCTGGAACTTAAGGGAATCCAGGCTGCTCTTTGCAAAGATGGCAGCTGCAGCTTCCCTACCTTCAATGGAGCCACAGCTGCCATATTTGCAAAAGGCAGCCAGTCTCCCTTTTTACATGCCTTGCCTGGGAGGCCAGAAGCAGACCTCAGCAGCTGCGATTAAGGTAAGGGGATGTCGGTGAGGGTGGGGGAGGGCTAAGGTAGGGGAAGGAAGGGGGTGGGTGTGGCTGTGGGGGGGGTGGCTGCTTTTCTGCCACCAATCAACTGATCGGCGGCCCGTAGGCAGAATGGTTGTTGTTGTTGTTTTTAATATGAAGGACAAATAAGAACTTTGTATTCATGGGGGTCTCTGGAACCCATGAATATGAAGGGATGAATATTTAAAAAATTGGGTATTTTCATCGAAAAAGCAAATCCATTTTTTTTCATCCCCATCTCTAATCTCCATGAGATCAAGAGAGATTAGGTAGGTTACTCAGGTGGAGGGCCTACAGAGTGGAGCAAAATATCTCCATCTGGAATGTGCCTGTCTTCCCCTCAGTTCGGCTCTGGTCAACCAGTATTTATTTTATTTTATTTATTTATTGAATTTGTCCCATCTTCAAGAGTTGTTCTGGCAAAGCATTAAGAATACCAACAGAGTTGACCTGTGCTTCAGAAAAGATCATTTTCCCATGTGATTTTGGTGTCCTTAAAACTTTTAATTCTTTCTATAATTCTGTCTGGGACAACTGATGCCGTCTGAAACAGCAGTCCTACAATAGATTATTGTATACAGTAAGCCCTGTTGACACTTACTTCTGAGTAAACATGTGCAGGAGAATGCATCAAATCACATTGCCACAGAGGAATTTGTAATATTTTAATCTTTCCTAATTCAGAAGGGAAAATAAGGACTTCCTCTTTATATCCAACTACTCAGTAACTATCAGTGTAATGTTTTAATGATTTCCAACTTATATTGTTGGTTTTTCTGTCCTTTCAGATGCACACAATGACTCAGTGATAAAATAAAAACAAATAGATTGAAACAGAATATTGTAGACTCAACAGCACTAAAAGAAGTCCTTTTCCATATTTGTCTGTAAGAAGCCCATCAACCCAAATGCCATATGAAAGAATGAGGTTCTGTTGTCCAAACTCTTTTAAGGGTGTGTGTGTGTCAGGAACCTCTCTCTTGAAAAAGAATTCCAAAGAAGAGACACTGTTGCTAAGAAGGCCGTGTCTTATGTAGCTACCCACCACACATCATCCAGGGGCAAGGAATGTAGTTTGAGGCCTTGAAGGACTACTTTCCTGTGGCCCATCCTGGCAATTTCAGTGTCTTGTCTTTTAAAGCTATGAACTCAAATGTTTTTCTCCATTGATAAATGGCTGGAAATACAACTGTTTATAGCAACATAGCTACTTTGCATTTATGTTAAGTTTTATCTGTTTAATAGAATTTCTAAAGACACTCCAATTGACTGTGGGAAACGAACGGGTAATAGCCAGGTTTATGAAGCTGACAGACCCTCCAAGCGTCTTCGGAGAAAAAGGAAATTGCTTTTGGATTCTGAAGATGAGGAAGAAAATGCAGATGATGATGAGGTAATGGTATGTACTGCATTTATTTTAGGCAAGAGGATCTACAGAAATCTGAAGTGATCAAAATTAACTATTTAAAATGCAACTAGTTAACTTTTTTGAATCCAACACCAATGTTCAAACTTTGCGTTCAGAGAATGCAGCCACACTGAAAAGTTCAAAGGGCAGATGTTAACTGCCATCTTAAATCCTTTTCAAGTTGTTTGGTTTTATTGAATTTATATACTGTCTTTCTGCTGTCTGTGCCTAGGAAAAGAATAAATTAAATTCGAAAAACCGCAGGACTACTAAAACAGTTAAGCAAGGTAAGTTGAAGATATAACCTTTTCCTACTTCTTGCTTAAAGGTACTATAAAATTGATGGTTTTATAACCCAGAAGATAGAGACAGAATCATAGAATTGTGGAACTGGTGACCCTGTGGGTTATCAACTACAGATCCCTGCCAGTGCAGGACCAAACAGCTAAAACATTCCTGACGGACGGTCATCCAACATCTACTTTAAAATCTCCAGTGAAGGATTAGAGAACTATCCTCTAGGGCAGTTGATTCTGTTGGCAAGTGTCTGTCACTGTTAGGAAGTTCTTCCTGATGTTAAGCCAAAGAAAATGATAAGCCATGGTGAGGACTCTTCTGATGTGATCTGTCAAACCAGGTACAAATCTACCTAGCCATAGCCAGAAGAATATCATGCTGAAACTAAGATACACTACATCCACAACATTCCCCTTGTCTACCAAGCTTGTGTCTCTGTCAAATAGAGATAAGGTAAATCTGGCATGACTTGCTTTTGAGAAACCCATGTTGAGTCTTAGAAATCACAGTGTCCCTTTGTAAGTCCTCAGAAACTTACTGTTTAATATGTTGTAGAACCTTTATTGATGTCGATGTCAAGTCAGTAGTGTACCAGATCTTTCCCCCCTTTTTTGAAAATGATTATGTTTACTGGCCCACAGTCTTCAAAGACCTCACATGTTCTCCAAAAATTCCCAAATTTTATAGACAGAAGCTCTGAGATTGTATCTGCAAAGTCTTAATTCCCTTGGATGGAGTTTATCTGACGTTGAAGACTTAAATTCATTTAGTATAGCTAAGTGCTTCTGTACCATCTGTTTCTCTGCCTTGAGCTGCAGCCCTCTCGTTTCCTCATTTATTCTGTTTGCACCAGGTTGCGCTGTTTTCCTTCTGTGAGAAAACAGATGCGAAGTAGGAGTTCAACTGTTCTACCTTCTCTGTGTCACCCCTTAGTAATTTTTCATCCTTTCCATTTAGCGAACCTATCCTTTCCTCGTTCCTCCTTTTGTTTCAGGTTTTTTTTTTCTAATTCTCTCTTTGATTACTCAGTGATTCCTGGAAAGAAGAATGTGTGGAACTGGATCTCATACTTAGAAGAGGAACGAATGCCAGCTGCTCCACTGAAACTTTTCAAAGAGGTTGGCAGCCTTTTGGAAACTTAACTTTGTTTTGAACACACAAAGGTTTAACTTCTTTGCATTGCACTGGCACCAGTATCTTCTGTGGGTGGAAGATACAGCCAAATGCTGTTACAGCAAGTGGAGTAGAAACTTAGAGACCCATGTAAGAGCTCTATACAAAGGAATCAGATAGGGTGGGTTTTCTTTATGCTGTGTTGCCCCAAGGCATCAACCCAGTTTGGGCTAACCATAATGATAAGGAACATGAGCCTAGCAATTGTGTCCGTTGTCCTGGAGTTATTTAGGAGTTTCACCTTGGCCTTGTTCAGAGGCAGCATTCCCAGTCTAGCAAATGTGGCTTGTTAGAGTGAGAATGAACATGAAGTTCATCCCCTTTTCAGTTCCCGTTTTCTTTTTCATGTCTAACTGCCATAGAGAATTCCTAGTTGATTAACCCATTTCTCTTGACATTCTTATTAGGCAACTGGTTTGAGCACTTTCTCCAAACCACTGCAAGCCAGAGTTCAGTTCTGATTTGTACTCTTACCTTGTAGAGAGCATTCAAACTGCACATTTCCAGCCTAGATGTTGTGACAAACCCAGACCTACTGGGATCTGCCACACTTTCACTAAGCTGCCACCAACCATTCCCTATGAGAAGTCACACAGACCAGGGATGGATTTTTAAACAATAAAAAGAATAAGGTTTATTTAAATACACACACAGGCAAAAATAAACAATCAGGTGTATAAAATATAGTAACGTGGCTTATTCTCATTCACACATACACACAGTTTGGTTCACACAGAACCCTTAACTTGAAGCACAGACCCTGAACCTATCAGTTCTGGCTAACCAACAGACACCTGAACCTATCAGGTTGGTACTCTGACACACAGTAGTACCCTGTCTGACACACAGACTCCCACACCAGCTCCTTCTTCCCAGCTGCTGCTTCGTCACATCCCAGCGTCTCCCAGTGTCTCTCTTCATCACACACGCTCCACATATATATACAGTACAGCCCCTCCTCCTGATGTCCCGCCTTCCACTCTCCATAGGATGGAACTTTCCCTCCAAACCCATGACAGACAGGTAACATCAGTGCTGTATGTAACAGATGTCATGGAGAAAAATGCATTACCGTTGGCTTTCTCCTTGTGAGGAGGTGCTGAGCAGGAGAAACGGGGAGCAAGTGCTGCAGTACAAATCTTTAGCAGCTGCCACGCATACTGTTTGCCAGGGGATGAGTGGCATGGATACAGGAGGGCTTTATTACACATCCCTTTATTAAAATAGTAATTATGAATCAACCATTTTACATAGTCTAATCCTTGTGCTTAATTTTGCTCCAAACCCTGTTTTACTTTGTCTCTTAGGTGCATGGTATTCTTTAGTTCTGATATCATGTCTTAGCCAGCAATGTTTAGCATGTTGAAGAATAATAATAAATAATGAATAATAAATAAATAAATAAATAAATAATAATAAATAATCCAGAACTGCAGAACTGGAAGAGACACTATGGATAATAGAGTCCAGTCACTGTCAAGAAGGCACAATGGGGAATTGAACTCCCAACCTCTGGCCCCACAGCAGAACTGGAAGGGACCCTATGGATCATAGAGTCCAGTCCCTGTCAAGAAGGCACAATGGGGAATCAGACTCCCAACCTCTGGCTCTGCAGCCAGATGCCTAATATGCTATTAAAAGTTAATCATTACAAGTGGCAGCCAATTGTCACGTCTAAACATAAGTAGGAAATGTAATCCTAGAGAATATGAATATAACAGCAAACCTGTTGATGTTGAGTAAGAATAGATAATGGCACCATGGACCAACTGGAGGATGTTCAGTCTTGTCTGTTTTTCATTGATGTCTAAGTCTGGTTTAGTTTTGCCTGCAAAGATTAATATCTCTGAGATTAACATGTACTGGTTAAGGGGGTGGGGGGAACCAACTGAAATCAGGAGTGTGAAACCTTTGGTCCTCTATATGATTAGGATCACATTGTCCATAATCTCTTACCACTGGCTGTACCAGTGGGGGATTGTGTGAGTTTAAATCTAAAACATCAGGAGGTTACAGTAAATGTCAGTTAAGCTAAGTTAAGATGTAATCTATTAATTGCCCTTCAGTTTTTTAACAAATGTATTTATTAGTTTAATTATCTTACAGATGCAGTAAATTAGTAGTTCTTTAAACTTTACTTTGCAGTACAAAACAAGGACGAAGTAAGGAATGCTGGGTGACCTTATTATGGAATGTGTCTTTTACTTGCAATTTTTCTCCTTAGGCTGATGATATTGCAACAGTAGATTATTCGTTAGACTATACAGTAATGCTTCTCCTCTGTTCTTTTTACCACAGTATCAGTCGTTTCCACAAAACAAAAATGGATTTAAAGTTGGAATGAAGCTAGAGGGCCTAGATCCTGAACATCCATCTTTATTTTGTGTCCTTTCTGTTGCTGAGGTATTTGCTTGCCTTCGTAATGGCACTAACAATATTTTCTTACAAGAGAGGGGAAAACCAAATGGAAGAAAGATAAAAGATATATCCTTAATCAGTGAGGGGAAAAATCTAAATGTAATACTTCATTTCCATTTAATTACAATGTCTGAAATCCAATAGGATAATTTGTACTATACCGATAGACTCACTGACTGAGTGACCAAGCACTTGTCATAACTCCATACCATTGTAAGCGGGAGACACCCAGGAACGGTAATTATATATATATAGTATTTTAATTGTTCAGAATTTTTATTGCATTTTAAATGTTGTAAGCCGCCCAGAGACCTTCGGGTAGTGTGGGCAGCATGTAAATTAAATAAATAAATAAATAAATAAATAAATAAATAAATAAGGCTCTTGTTCTTATTGGTCATTAGATAGATAGATAGATAGATAGATAGATAGATAGATAGATAGATAGATAGATAGATAGATAGATAGATAGATAGATAGATAAGGCTCTTGCCCTTATTGGTCATGGTATTTTTTCAGGAATTAAAAAAAATTTGCCACCATAAGGTCCCAGAGCTGCTTTGGAATCTGTTTTATCATGGGGAAACCATAGGGGCCACAGGATGTGGGTGGAGTGTTTAAGCTCGAAAAATTACCACTGGTGGGATGATTTTTCCTAATGATGGCAATGCTCAGAAGTTAAAAACTTTCCCCTCCATTCCGTAATTCCCAACAGCTTCCTTGCAACAAGAGGAATCCTAAGGGAGCTTCAGGATTGGGACAGTGGTGAAAGTGAATTTTAGCCAGCATCGTCTTTCTAGAAAATGCTTATCAAACAAGAAATATATGCTTTGTGATTTTATCATACAAGCTGAGTGGCTTTAAAGATTTTGTCTGCAGCCTTAAAAGGTTATTGTCAGACTAGACCACCATTTTAAAAAAATTAGGCGATTTTAAAAGATCATTCCTGACTGAAACTTCTATCTTGCAAAACAGAACTCTTTTTCAATCTCTGGCTTGGGCTGTACTGAGAGACTAAATTTTGGAGTAGGCACTGTGTGTTTTCCTACAGGTATAAGTAGATACATGTCTTCTTTGAACATACAATAGCATTCGTTAAGAGTTATAAGCTGAAAAGGATTCTGTCCGAATACAGCATGATTTTTTTCCCCAAAGTGTAATATTGATTTTTCAAGATAAATTATTCTCAAAAGGGATAAGATTCAGCTTCATGTTCACAGATACAAGGATACAGAATGCGATTACATTTTGATGGCTACTCGGAATGCTACGATTTCTGGGTCAATGCTGATTCTCCAGACATCCACCCTGTTGGCTGGTGTGAAAAAACAGGTCACAAGCTACTGCCTCCTAAAGGTACCTATATTTACATGTATTTTTTTAAAAATGTCTTACATGTTACTGTTTTTAAATCTAGCTTCCATAGATGTCAGTGTGGCCTGAAATAATGCCAAACCACACAGTTCAGTGGTATGAGAAAGACCTTAATCAATTTTCATACTCACATACTCTCCTTTCCTCTGGTGCTGCTATGAAGAGATCTTCTATTCACTTGTTTCAGCTAACTTGATTATTTGTAGGGCTTTCACATTGATGTAGTTAGGTCTATGCCTGCACAGAGTTACCCCTTTCAGATCTTCGAGACTATGTTGCTCCCCTTCCTTTTTTCTTTCATAGCAATGATGCAGCGGTTCGTCCCTTAGTTTCATTTTGTCTGACTGAACAGCTACACTTTGGCCATTCTCATGAGAGAGTGATCACTTGACACTAATATATTTCTTTTTTGTATCTAGTTTATTTGTTACTTTTTGTTTGTTTTTTGTTTTTACAGTTGGTGTAGTTATTGCATGATTTTGTTTGTGAAAATTATTCCAGTTTTCCTTTCTCACTGAAAGGCAAGCGGTAAAAACGTCTTCAGAATTACTTTCTGAAAGTTAGAAAAGCCTTCAAAGTTATTTTAAACAGTGGCTTGACTTTCCCAGTACATGAATGGAGACACGAAAGGCACCTATTCCCTTGCTGTGTGAACTTTTAAGAGATAAAAATACTGGACTGGACTGTGTCACTTAAGAACCAAACAAGTCTAGTGAAAGTGTTGCCAGCCACTGTGAGAAAATTAATACTAGTGCAAGTTACAGCAAGTCTCATGAACTTTAAATGATTTCATTTATATAGCACAGATAGAAACAGGTACACAAATAGAAACAGGTACACATTTAAAAGATAACTGGTATGCTTATGCCCTGTAAAATCTGATACAACAAAATAAGTTTATCTCACTATGTGTATGCCATGAAAATGGACTACTAGGAACTCTGTATTTTTGCAGTGTTCTTGTGTGTGTGGCTTTGATTATGCGATATAAAAGAATCAAATTGTTGTACTAAATTTTTTAAAGGTTCATAAAAGATGGCTTTTGCAGGTATCTAGGCTCAAGCATTGAAAATCTTGCATTTATCTAAAAATTTTATCACTAACGTGCAACTTAACAAATGGATTTACTACTTATTCTTCGAAGTTACATTATTTCCTGGAGGATTCTGAGGTTTCAGTATAATGGTTAATTAATGATTAATAATTGCAATAACATATTTAAAACAGAGGGGAAAAAGATCTGTTAAACTGAAGTTTGTAATCCCTGCCTGATCCAAAAGGCCAGCTATCATGCAATACCAAATTTGTTTCTGAAAACCAATCTTAATGTAGCAACCAATATATAAAGCAATGATTTTATGTTCCTTTGTCTCTCTCACTCTCCCACTCCTCCTTTCCCTACTCCAGGTTACAAAGAAGGAGAATTTAATTGGACTTCATATTTGAAGAACTGCAAAGCTCAGGCTGCCCCCAAAACACTTTTCAAGGCCATGAGCACAGTAAGAAACAGTACTGATGTTCTAAGTCTTCTAAAGTTATATCATACGTTGGTTTTTCAAGCCCTTTCAGTGTAGATGTGCTTTTTTCTGCTTGGAGCAGAAACTGAATCCCTAAAAATAAGGCAAGACAGGTGTGAAATAGGGACTGTATGTAGTATCTCAAATTAGAATTAAGATACAGAGGTTATTAACTATGTTTTGATTTGTGAGCACACATTAGCACATACTCTACCTGCCGAAGGTACTGTACAGTGGTGCCCCGCATAGCAAGGTTAGTCCCCCCTTCATTGTGAATGAGCAGGATGTGAGACAGACTATGAAAGTGGTTAACTCCAGAAAAGCAGCTGGACCCGACTTAATTCCTGGTCGGGTGGTAAAAGACTGTGCTGATCAGCTAGCCGGGATATGGACTATAATTTTTAATCGAACCCTGACACTATGCGCAGTTCCCGTCTGTCTCAAGGCTTCCGTCATCGTTCCACTGCCTAAAAAGTTGCCTACAAACAGTCCGAATGACTACAGGCCGGTGGCACTAACTTCAATCTTAATGAAGTGCTTTGAGCAGTTAGTTCGGAAATATATTATCTCCTGCCTTCCT